GACTTATTTGTTTGCTTTCCAGGATACCCAGATCTACTGTCATCCTTAAAAAAATAAACAAAAAACCTCCCTTGACTCATCATTTTCTCCATTCTTTTCTAAGCTCCTAAAAAGAATCATCCACATTTGTTGCATCCATTTCCTCACTAGCTTTTTGCCATCTGGTTTAGAGAAATAGCATAGTACAGTAAGGAAGGACACTGAATTTGGAATAAGGGAACTTTGGTTTGAATCCCAGTTCTGCCACTTCCTACCTCTGTGAGTAAGTCACTTGAAATCTCTGGACCTGAGTTTCCTCAGCTGTAAAGTAAGGGAGTTCCATAAGATGACTTTTGTGGTCCCATCTATCTATAAATTTGTAATCCTCTTACCCTACAGCTCTGTTTATTTAGACTACTCTCTCAAAGGTTACCAGCAACATTTCCCATTTGGAACAAATTCAGACTTAACTTAATCAATCTGTCCAGTTTATTTATAGTTTTGCAATATGTGTGATACCTTTAACTTAAAATGTTTTGTTGTTAATTAGGGTTTGGAACATAATAAATAAATGCTTAATAAATTCCATTTCTGTCTCTGTCTGTCTTTATCTCTGCCTGTCTTTGTCTTTGTTTCTGTGTGTATCTGTCTGTCTCTCCTTCTCTATCTTCGTCTGTCTCTCTCCATAGTGCTAGTATTATTGGATTTGGAATAAATGATAATTTTGTTATATCTTTCATGATTTTAAATACTTCACATCATCTCTTAGCCTTTGCATTAGCCTAGTGCATAGGATAGGCTTTAAATCTAGAAGAAACCTTAGAGATCATCTAGTTCACCCCTCCAACCATTTACAGATGAAGAAACTGAGGTGGGGTGTTGAATGACTCTTTCAAAGGCACACAGGTTAACTAAGTAGTAGATCTCAGATGATTTTAAATCTATTCTCATAAAGGCACTTTTCCACTTTCTTGTTCCTTTTAATATTGTATCTCTATGCCAGTTTCTCTACCTTTGTCTTTTTTATGCCAGAGAGTTGAATTCATATGTTGGTTAACCTATTTGATCATCCTCTGAATTATTTTGAGCTCTCCATTTAAGTCCCATCCTGATGCTTCATCATAACATGGAGGGGTCCTGGATTTAGAAAGCCTATGCTGGTGGAGTAAAGACTCTGGTAGGTCTTACCAAGCTGAAAATGCTTTCAGTAGTGCTGAGCAATGGATTGGCATCAGAGAGTTTTATATAAGTGGGGACACACTAGAAGGCTGGCCACCAGGGGAACACCCACATCAGTGGAATCAAAGAGCTTTTGAGGTATTGAAGAATAGTTTTAAGAAACAGAAAATGCCTTAGTCTCTTTTTAAAAAGAGAATCTAAGAATGATTCTGATTCATCAATGCATTCTTTCTTCCTTCAAATGACCCTTCTAGAATGCCTTTCTTTTTTTTCTTAAAAGATTATCAAGAAAAAAGCACTAGTTATTCCCACATATACTTAACATCTTTTCTGTTTCAATTGAAAAATAATATTTGTGAACATAGAAATACCTGATATGCTGTAATTCTTCAAATTCATCTTCTTTAAAAGCATTTTCCATAAAGCCTGAATACTTATTTACTTACTGTCAAATGAATTGGAGCACAAATGAATCTAAGCATTTAATTACTCCTTCAGTAGTAAAGGAGTCATTTCTAAAACACATTAATATTTTATTTTTTAAATGTTCAGCTTTGCAGAACACACATATGGAAGCACAGTTTGAACTTTAGAGGCTATAATTTTCTCAGTCCATAAAATTATTGTTAATGTATTATAAATATACGGATGACTGCATCATTGAAGTGCTCCTGGCCAAATCCCATTCAGAGTTCACCTTAGTAGGGCGACATTATCCAAAATGGGAAAAGACAAATAAAATTTACATTGGAGAAAATGTATTAATGTCTGAAGCTTTGATCTACTGTAGTATTTTGTTGTGGCTTCAAGGAAAAAGTTTTCCTGAATTAGAAGAACACAATCTGTTCAGTCTCCCTGGACTAAGCAGCAGATGACCAATATCACCTTCTTAGGGGGACAGAAGATTATCTTTTGAGTTTCCTCCTGAAGTCCAAAGATGGCTCTACAATGACTCCTTCTTTCCTGGCTTTCCATGTTTCTTCTCCTAGCTTCCTGGATCACTATGACCATGGAATGGAAATCAAACAAATTCCTTTTAGATCCAGTTATTTTCTGAAAAACAAACAAACAAATGAAAAAGAAATGAAAATAACAACATCAACCACAACTACAAACCCCCATATAATCTACCATTTGGAGAATATTGGCAACACTATGATTTTAATTTTGATCAATGTTTCTGACTTCCCTTTATAAATTTTTATAGAAGTAACTGAAACCCATTTGTTGTTTCCCATTATGGTTGTTTTGGATTTTGTTATTGACATGAGCAAGTAGGCTATGAAATGACCCCACACTTTTATTCACATGCGCAGAATGAATTGAATGAGAGTGAACACACCAACACTGGTTCTTGTCTTCTTATAAGTTGGACACATTCTGTGCATCCAACAGAGTTCCCAGAAGGATGGTGATCTAACTTCAACTTTCACACAATGAGCTGTAACACCCAGAGACCTGTTGGGGGTGATGCCAGCCTGAGAGGTATTTGGATAAGTGTTTTTCACTCCACTGTTTTCATGTGACCTGGCTTACTCATACTCAATTTAGTTACATCTTGACCTGAAAAAATACAGTCTAGATTTGTTTCTGTCTTCATTTGGTTTACCTCCTCTCTCTCAATCTCTCTGTCTGTCTGTCTGTCTCTTTCTTTCTCTCTCTCTCTTTCTCATACACACATGCACACAGAGTTACACACACACCACACACACACACACACACACACACACACACACACACCTCTCCCTCTCCTTTCCATTCAGTTTTCTTCCTGTATCTTATTCTGAAAAGCATAGGAAATATCTTCTGGATGCCCTCACATTTATTTACAATCTACATTCTTTAGTCAGATCTTGTCTTATTGGAGAGAAGACAATCTATTTGAGTAGTTAAAAGATATACAGAGAACATCCACAAAAAGCAGCATATGTACTTCCTTTCCCTACCAACTCACACCATTATTTATGTTTTGCTGTTTCATTAAGAAGCATAGAATAGTAAAAGGAATAAGAATTCTCTTTTCTTCTCAGTCTTATCTCCCATCCGCCTTCCACAAATGACTGATTTTTATGCATGAGATAATGGATGAGCCTTGGGTGACCTGTTTTTTTTCCCCCTTTTTTTTTCTTGCGGTAAAATTGTGTTGAAGAAAGAGGGCACTAGTGTACAGCCCATAGTCTATCATTACCATCCGACTGGATTTGTGCTAAAGCTTCTGTGAACGGGAGAGGTGCCACTGTCTGCTTTGACCAAGGAAGAACAGCACTATCTCCCAGATTCAGGTAAGGTTCAAGTTTAAATCTGCCAAATATGTCAAGGTTGATCTATAATATAGTAGTTAAAAGCTGTCTCCATGTGGCAGGCACAATTATAATCTCTTTGATTTTCTGCTTGGCACTAGATGCATGTTTATTTATTTTGGTCATGAAATCAGGGGAAGCGTTGAGACCCACTGGTTCCTTGGAATCATCTTCTTGCTTTTTCCTGCACTCGCTTCCCTCCTTTTCTTTATCTCTACACTCCCTTAACCCCTTTTATTTCCTACTTTCTCCTTGAGGAGAAATAGCCCCACTAAGGATAGCAGTGGGAGCCAACTTGAGCTCCGTTTGCTACTGAGAGTCTGTGACTCTATCTCCAAACCCATCCCCAGTCCGACTCTCTCTAAATTGGTTCAAAAGGAGCAAGAGAAGCCTCAGTGAAATTGGGAAGAGAGAGGAAAGGTGATGAGGTAAGGGGGTGTGTGTGTGTGTGTGTGTGTGTGTGTGTGTGTGTGTGCGTGCCGCTGCTGCTTTCTGGTGGTGGTAATGGGGGTGAACACAGGCGAGGAAGTTGAAGGAGAGAAGTGCACAGGGTTAATTCATTCCCTGAGTCCTGGTGACTGCAGGGAAAAGGTTGAAGCTGCTCAGTGCGCTGTCCAGTGTTCTGAAAGCAGCGGTAGGGTGCAGCTCTCCCACCAATGAATGCAACAGGAAACTATTGCTTTCTCCCTCTTATTTAAACTCTGCTGAACAAAACAGTCTCGACTAAGGTATGTACAAGACTCCCTCTGTCCCTTCTCTCAACTGCGCTAAACTATTTAATCTCTTCTAATCAGCCGAATCATCTTCACCTCTTCTTCCCTCAAAATCTGGTGAAAGGCTGGCTTCTCAGGAAAAGAAAAACCCAAAACACGATGACTTTCCCAGGCGTTGCCTTAGTAACTAATAAGGATTTTCCCCAAGCTTAAATTCCACACTTGGATTTAATCTTTCATCCTTTTTTCCCCCTCAGTTCAAAAAGTTTATGTAAATGGTACATTCTCTTCTCTCTTTGACCTTAAAAAAATGTTTCAATTTGCTTAGAAGAATTTCCAAATTTTCTCTCCTGAAAAAGTTGGTTTTCTTGAAATCAGAGTGAGAATAGGGAGGTGGACACAGCAACTAGTAGAAACTTCTGGATTGGACCACCTGGCAGGAAGAGGCATAAACAAAGACAACACCTTGAAAACTTTTTTGTTTGAACCAGTAGGAGACACAGAGTGAGAAGGTGAAAGTCAACCTTGAGACTAGATAGCTATGTCTATAAATCAGGCAAGATTGTTCAGAGCACTGGGGAAGAATAAGGATAACATTTCTCTAGCTGTCCTTGAAAATGGCCTGTAAAATTTCCCTCTGGTTGATACTGACATTTACCAAAATGAAAGGACTAAGAAATGATTAACATTCACTGACCATTTCTTCTAATCATAGTGTTTTTGTTTCTATTCTTGCCATACCCCTCCCCTCATTCCCCAGTAAGGCACAATTCCTGGCCACAATGACTCCAGCTGTGCCATCAATGCATTTACTTTGAGCCACCTCTGGAGAAGAAAGGTTCATATTTGTCTGAAAACGCCTCCAGTGAGTGGAGGTGTTGGTCGTGGAGGACGAGGAAGAAAAAGAGGAAGAAGAGGTGGGACGGAACTGTGGCTACTGCTGTATAGGAGACACTTAGGGGAGAGGTAACCAAAAGGAGAGAGAGAGGAAAACAAGAAACATCTCTGTATCCCCCACAATGTTCAAGAAAGAAGAATCTATCAAATTGGTCACCTGGATATGTATGGCATCATGCAATAAGATGATTGGGATGTTGTTGGTGCTTTTCCCAGCCATATTCTTGGAGATGACTCTTCTACCAAGGAGCCCTGGCAGGAATGTATTGTTGGTTGGGGGCTCCTCTCAGCGATCAGTGGCTAGAATGGATGGGGATGTCATTATTGGAGCTCTCTTCTCTGTTCACCATCAGCCACCGGCAGAAAAGGTGCCTGAGAGGAAGTGTGGGGAGATAAGGGAGCAGTATGGCATCCAGAGAGTGGAGGCCATGTTTCATACATTGGATAAAATTAACTCTGATCCCATTCTGCTGCCCAACATCACTCTGGGCAGTGAGATTAGGGATTCCTGCTGGCATTCATCTGTTGCACTGGAGCAGAGTATTGAGTTCATTAGGGATTCTCTGATTTCTATTCGTGATGACAAGGATGGGACCAATCGATGCCTGCCTGACAATCCATCTCACCACCCTGGCCGCACTAAAAAGCCCATTGCAGGTGTGATTGGTCCTGGTTCCAGCTCAGTGGCCATACAAGTTCAGAACTTACTTCAGCTCTTTGACATCCCCCAGATTGCTTATTCAGCCACAAGCATTGACCTCAGTGACAAAACTTTGTACAAATATTTCTTGAGGGTAGTTCCTTCAGACACGTTGCAAGCCAGAGCTATGCTTGACATAGTCAAACGTTACAATTGGACCTATGTCTCCGCTGTCCACACAGAAGGTAGGGATTGCATTTGGAAAAGAAATGTACTGGGAATGCAAGGGCACTGTGGAATGTGGTCCAAAAATTGGCATCCAATTCCTTTCTTAACAGCTATCTTTGATAATACCTTCCCCTCTTTCTAATACCCATTCACCTAGGAAGGCAGGCAGGGCACACACACTCCCTCCCTTCTCCTTTCGTGAACTAAATATCATTTTCCTGTGGGGTAGTGGTTATTAAAAATCAACTAAACTCTTTAGGCAATTATTCCTGCAGTATGCAGTTATGTAACAAATCCTCACCCTTTCTGTAGTTGCAGGGGTGGTTTGCAAGACATTGTTTCACTCTCAGATAATTAGCTAAAATTACAAATCTGAAGGATGTGTTTTTCAAAAAGAAAACATTGACCCATGAATTGGACTTGAAAGCTTCAGCTGCCTTGAACAACTGAAGCTTTTTTCCTGCCCCCATCAGCACTGTTCCCATGGCACAAACTTATTTAGGTATGTAGGAGTAAGACAGTCTCCTCCATCAACCAGTCAGATCCCTATGCTGTTAATTCTCATACTTTCAAAATATCTTCTTAGAAGACTTTACATAAAATGAAAAATACTTTGCTGATGTAAATATCAGGGTGTTATTTAAAAAATTTAAAAGGGAGATAATAACCAGAAGGTAACACCTTTATTTTTTCCCACAGACTTAGAGGCTTGCATTAGCAAAATAATTGGTTTTAGTAGATATTTTCATACTCCATATATCTCTGCCTATACACAACTATTGTAGGTCAGATGTGGAAGGTACCTTAACGATCATCTACTCCAACCCCCTTCTTTTATAGGTGAAGAGACTTGGGTTCACAAACACTAAATTAACCATGTTTGGGACAGCACAATGCATATACAGATATATAGAAATGAATCTTTGGTAGATTGTTGGAATTTAATTCTTAAAATCAGACACTAGTAAAAAGAAATTAAATGATGAAGGCATTATGTCTTTAAGTTATATAGGTCCAATGGTTGTTATATAATTATCAATGTAATACCGAGCAGTATTAAATGGCTTTTTAATATATTGATTGGAGAAATCAACAAGTTTGATTAAATGGAGCAGCTGTAAGGTAATTTTCAATAAAAATGAATAACTCCATTTCTAATGGCACTAGTACTTTCACCACAAACATACACAATCTCTCCCCCTCTCTCTTCACACATAATTATATGCATATATATTTATATATACACACATACATATGCGTGTGTGTGATAATCTATGTTATTATTCAATCTTTATTTATGGAAGATACTTTGAGCTACATTATTGTGACCTTTCACCAACTCATTTTTTTGAATCTTGATTTTTAAAAAATATAACTCCACGTCTCATGTTTATCTGAGATGCAAACATCTAAGCCTCATCTCAAATATATGTCTTTTGTACTCTTTATTAATATTTCACATAATTTCCTTTGGTACTTAAATAGTCCAAAAGCACATGTTACAAACATATATACTATAGTTGAATAAAAGAAAACTTTCATACAGGAAAATGGTAAAATCTAGGGTGAATGGGATTAGTTCACTTCATTTAAATATTAAGTGGGCTGTTTTCCTACTTAAGCATGTCCATAGATCATTGATATTTGGAATTCTGTACTTTCTTACAGGGAAAAATTAAATCATTATTGTGGGGTAGTGTGATTTTTTTCCATGTAACATTATTTTCAGGGAAGGGAATGAAGAATGAACTTTCTATTTGTTTCTCAGTGGAATCATTGTGTCAAAGAATGTCTATACTTGGGTGTTATGTGACACCCAGAATTATATGTTTGGAAAAATGGCCTGGAACTAGGTCTGTTAATTTTGTTCAGAAAGGGCTCATATTAAATTCCTGTTGTTGTTTGAGTTTGGGTTTGTTTGGTGTCTTTCTGTTGGTGACTTGCAATGCCAGGGATGACTTCTAAAAATAACTGCATTAACCATTTGAGACTGTGCTATGTTAATAACTCCACATCATACTTGATGTGGCTTTTGTTTCATTGTGAAGAGTTTATATCAGTAGTGCCATGCCTACTTATGTATAATTTCTTACTCTTTCTTAAAGTAAGTTGTTTCTTCTGCTGACCTATCCAGCCCAGGAATTGAAATTGCCTTTATTTTCTTTTAGATGTAGAGCATTCTCTCTGCCTATGCCCCAGTTGTAAGGTCAGTCTTTCCAGGGTGCTTCTTCCTTGTTGTTCAGGGATCTACATGAGATTAGAGAGAAGTATAGCTTCCTCAGTCATTGAGTCCTCCTAAATCCTTGTCTAGACTGACTATGACATCTACTCTATAATGTCAATGTGACCTGTTAGAAAGCAATTAAAAGCACACATTAGTTTTGTCTGTCTCACTCAAGGAAATTCACTGGGAATGTCTTCTGAATTTATGGGATATTAATAGTCTCAAGTGTGGGATTTCTGGGATGCAGACCTCTTCCTCCCCCTGCCTCCAATCATTTACTTCCTCAGATTCTTCTTCTATAATAGATTTCTTTTCAATATTCTCTATTTTGGCAAATCTAGAGAACATGCCTAACAGCAAACAAATGCAGAGTTTAGTAATTAGCCTAGGGAAATAAGTCTCAACCCCTTCCCTACCTCCATCCTAAAGCTGATTGGTTGATTTTTAAAATCCTGGGTGGTCTCTCTGAATACCTAAGATTTTTCATATTCTTTCTTTTTTTTTCTTTTTTTACTAATTACATTTCATCACAAACTCTGAAGTACTTTGTATTGGGGTTTATATTGTATATTAATTTCTATCTTGCCTTTTTTGCTGTCCTTTGTGATGCTCCTATATTTGAATTATACTACCAGCCTCTATTCTTACCATAGTAGAGAACTATCAACATAGATATGGCTTTCCCCATAGCTCTTCACCTATTTCTGAATAGATGTACATAATATGAGCTTGCAGCTAACAATCTGGCTAATAATTTAAAACTATTTTAAAAATGATAATGTAGCAAGAATAGGAAGAAAACACTTTGAATTTCAACATTTCCTTTAAACGAATTTTTATTTTTTGAGATGTTTTTCATGTGAATTTTAAATTTCATTTTATTTTTCAACTAATAAAGATTTAATTTATCTTCTCTCCATCTCCCAGTTTAAAAAAAAGAAGAAAAAGAAAATTCTTGTAACAAATATGGATAGCCTAGCAAAACAAATTCTCACAGTTATCTATGTTCAAAAATATGTCTCATTCTATATCTTGAATCCAATCTCTTTCTGTGTGTCAGGAGGTTGGTAGCATAGACCATTAGTTCTCTAGAACCATGGTTGCTCATTGCATTGATCAAAGATTGCCATGTCTTTCAAAGTTATTTATCTTTGCATTTTTTTATTGTATAAATTATTTTTCTGTTTCTGCTTGCTTCACTCTGAATCATATAAACCTTTCCAGGTTTCTCTGAACCCATTCCTTTCATCATTTATTATAGCACAATAGCATTCCATCACTTTAATTTACTATAATTTGTTATACAATAATTTTTAAGCATGTCCTATGTACAAGGTACTAGACTACATGCTGAGGAATACAAGGATGAAACAAGAGGTAGTAAGCAGAGTGGCACTAACATTGGACCCAGAGTCAGAAGACTAAGGTTTCTGTTTTGGTTCTGACACTTACTGATATCTGACCATGGCCAAATTACTTCTCTGAGTCTCAGATTCCTCATCTATGAAATGGGTGTAATAATGCTTACTCTACTTACCTTAAAGGGTAGTCATGAAGAAATCAATTTTTAAACATAAAAGCATCAAATAAAATGTATTTATGGTATTAGTATTTTATTTTTCAGTTGAATCTGGCTTACAGACCATTTTGCATGAGTACTTTACAATCATCTCCTTCTGAAATATAAACTTCTTGTTCATTCAATAAGTATCTAGAAATACAACTTTCTGAACTGATACAAATGGATGACCCATTTCATAGTTGTTTGATTACCATTTTATTATTAATTCAATTCAATAGCTCAGAAAATCTGATATAAAATCATTGTAATCCTCTGGAGTCTATTGTCCAAATATATTAGAAGTACCTTTCATTGGGATGGAATGTTCTTGGTGAGTGGATTGTAATAATTTTATTAATATTTGTCATTATTATTGAAAACCTTATGAGTAGGGTTGACTATGTATTAATTTCAGATTATTTCGACACTCTACATACTAATTTAAGACATGTAGTAGGATTGCAAAGAATGTTATTGATTGATTGAATATTAAATGAAGTATTTAAGGGACGGGTTGAATAGCAGGTAAACATGGAATCAGTAAAGCAAGGAAGTGACCAAACAGACTTTCACTCTACTCTGTAATAAGCTGCTCACCTGGAATCTAAGCCTTTACAATATGCTAAACAGAGAATACCAAAATAGCCCACTTCTGTGGTAAATAGCTCAGCCAAAGACGCTGTGTTCTATCTTTATGATGAAAAGCAGGTTTCACATCAAAAGGCAAACTCCTCATTTCAAAAGGTTGAAGACAACGGTACTTAAAAATAATTTTGGCTGGTTACACTGAAAGTCTTCTTTGGATCTGTAGCATTTGCATTAGATTATGAATAGATAATTTTTCGCTTACTTTCAGCTCTTGCCTCTCCTTGTTTTGTTTTGAGGTAATCGCTGATTGAACACTTACTAGCATCCTTGTACATCCTTTCTGAAAGTGGTCTATGTCAGTGGCACTGTTGTCAGTATAACAAAACCTCACTTGTGCTGTGTGTTTTAAATGCTTGCACATAAAAACAAAACAAAAGAAAATTCAGCAGCAACAATGAAAGATACTGACATTCATGTATGGATTATATTATATTTTATTTTCCTTCTCCACTGAAGTTCCACCCCTTCTTTGATGCTACTAGATGATTGAGAAGAAACATGTACTTCATTAAACCCATAGGCATTAAAAGGGAAACACTTTCTATTTTAAACAGACAATTTGACAAGCGTTGCCTAATGCTTGT